CACCCCCAGTTCTGCCTGAGATCTTGTGCTCTAGAATTGAAAGCCAAAAGTTTCATCTTTATGACACAGAATAAAACCTTGACAATGTGAACAGAGTAGCTGATGCACTGATGGGGAAAGAGAATGGAAGCCAACTGGGGAGCCTGATATCCAGAGTGGGAAATAAACAGAAAGAGAAAGGGGATAAATGAAAGCTGTAGAAAAAAGAGTTTGAAAGAGAGGACAAAATTAGATATACAGGAAGAGGGCAAGATTTAACAAATTGATAAAGGGAGTGAAGAAAAATGGACAGAAATGAGAAAAAGGAACAGTGGTGACAGAAAGTGGAAAATGGAAGGAGAGAGAAGGCAATAAAGTAATAGAAAGAATAAGGGGAAATGTGTACCTTCAACGTTGGTAAAACTGTATTCCATTATTCATATTCATTCCAGTCCTTGTTTCTAGGGGTGAATTTCAAGATGAGATTATATTTAATATACATAGTTCCTCACCTTTGTGGGAGGGTGCCAACAATTGTTTGAAGTGTACCTAAGGTAAGTCTTGATTTGAAGACATTTGCACGAGACACAAAACTCTTGTGTGTGGGAAAGGAGATAGAAGACTTGAAATCTCTGTCAAATGTTATGTAATAATTTACTCACCAGATAGGACCACTAGAAAGAACTTGGGTGGCAGGATCGAGGGTCAGACCCCGGTCTCAACTTGACTTCTATGGTACTACTAGGCTTTGGCTCTAAAAACCTAGTATCAACTTTTAGTTTGTTTTGATACTTTGAAGTTTAGCTAAAAAAGCTCTCATTCGTTTGGCTGATAAGAGGGAAAGTGGAGGTAGCCTTTAGATAAAGGAATCTTGTTTTTAAGGTTTTGAGGATAAATTACCACTTAAGAAGGACTTTTGAGAAATATTTGAGCATAAATTAAAAGTAGGGTATGTCCTTTTAAAAACCATTTTAAAGAAACTTAATGAAATGCTACATGATTTAAATTTATGTTAAGATTAGTTATTTTTAGCATGTTTTCCCCAGGGAAAAGTTAGAACCAAAATGCATGATATTAATATGTTTTCTAATTGCCGGGAAAGAAGGGTGAACCTGATGTGTACATTACCCAGTTCGTAACTTAAGTAAAAGAACAAAAGTTGTAATTAATTTTATAACATTCATTAAAATATATGGTTTAGATATGGGCAGATCACAAACAAGCTAAAAGGAATCATAAAGTAAGGTTAAAAAAGTTAAACCCTCTTCTCCACTTGAAGAAAATGAATTTGCTGCTTCTCTTAAGCATCAAAATATTTTGGGATATTATATATACATAGCTTAATAACTCTTTTTAACTGATTTTTGGCAAGGTTCCAGTTTTCACATAATTATAAATCTGAATCCAGTTTCACTTTTTCCCATCCTGCAGAATAATCTCCAGATGTGTGCAGAGCTACCAGGGCAGAAACATGAAAGCTAACTCTACTGTGTTGTCTAAGAGGAAACTTTCCCCCCGAATTGAGGGCTGCTTTTTAGAGTATCATGCTGGAAAAGCACAAACCAGTAGTGTGCTCTGTTTTCCTAGTACAGTGAACACAGTTTTCCATTTATACCATAACAAATTAAAATCAGTCTTCAAATCAACAACAGATGGTCTGGTATGGTACAATAGCAGCTTTGCTGCTTAAACTGCAAATCCCAAGACTGATAGTTTAAAACAAAAGTTTCTTGTAGTCTTGCAGGTGCTGCAAAAGTACTATATGCAGTGGAAGAATATATGGTGCCTTAGGCTATAGCAGCTAATCAGCAGTAGCAAAACCAACAATTGAGGGGAGAAGAGGAAATACAGATTCTGTATATTAAGGGTAAATCAATCAGGTAGGAGGCAGAGACTGTGAGCGAAAGTTCATCTGTATGATCGTGCTCACTGCTCCTCAAAGGCATCCAAGGAGGACACTGCCCAGAGGAACTCAGCCTGGAGGTGTGAATGGACAAGGGAACAGAAACAGAACCCACAATTGCAGAGTACACCGTACTATCCTAAATACACACATTTCCAGCTTCCTCCTTTTTGGGTGATGGATGGCCCTTTTGGCCAGGGCCAGGAGAAGGTTGCCAAGGACATATCATGACTTTGTGGAGCTATTGACAGGGTATAAGCGAATCAGGAGATGTGGGGAGAAGTATAGTCAGAACATCAGTAGGAGGTCCTGGTGATTGTGCAGCAGGGATTCTATTAACTTCCAGGTGCAATTATGTATTAAATTAAATCCAAACATATAAAAGTATCTAAATGTATAATTAAATCACTAAAACAATCTTAACTCTGACCTGTAGTGACACTATACAATAACCATAAGGATTACAATTAAGTCATTTCAATTATTTGTGCTCCCAGAGTAAACTATTTTTCAAAGGTGCATTATATGAGTCAACAGTGTGATGCTGTTGCAAAAAAAGCAAATATGATTCTAGGTTGTATCAACAGGTGTGTTGTAAGCAAAACTCGTGAAGTCATTCTGCCGCTCTACTCTGCACTAGTTAGGCCTCAGTTGGAGTACTGTGTCCAGTTCTGGGCGCCACATTTCAAGAAAGATGTGGAGAAATTGGAAAGGGTACAGAGAAGAGTGACAAGAATGATTAAAGGTTTAGAGAACATGACCTATGAAGCCAGGCTTCATGAACTGGGCTTGTTTAGTTTGGAAAAAAGAAGATTAAGGGGGGACATGATAGCGGTTTTCAAATATCTAAAAGGGTGTCACAAGGAAGAAGGAGAAAATTTGTTCCTCTTGGTTACTGAGGACAGGACAAGGAGTAATGGGCTTAAAGTGCAGCAAGGGAGGTTTAGATTGGACATTAGGAAAAAATTCCTAACTGTCAGGGTGGTCAAATATTGGAATAAATTGCCAAGGGAGGTGGTGGAATCTCCCTCTCTGGAGATATTTAAGAACAGGTTAGATAGACATCTGTCAGGGATGGTGTAGACGGAGCTTGATCCTGCCTTGAGGGCGGGGGGCTGGACTCGATGACCTCATGAGGTCCCTTCCAGTCCTATTATTCTATGATTCTAGGGTAGAGTTAAGTTTTTTGGCTGCCCTAACTGTGTGATAATATGTAGGGCTGTCAATTGATGTGCGTTAATGCCTGCGATTAATGCATGGCAGGACTGACGCATTAATTTTTTTAACGCATTAATGATGCGCTGCCCCTTTGAAGTGCTGCCCCAGCGTTTTCAAGGGGAAGCACTGCAAAACTCTGGGGTCAGCTGGAGTGCCCAATCTCCATGCTGAGCTGGAGTGCCCAATCTCCATGCAGCGCTGCCCCTTTGAAGCGCCGGAGCGGCACTTCAAAGGGGCAGCGCAACGCGGAGCCAGGGATCAGCTGGACACTCCAGCTGACCCTGGGCTCCCGCAGTGCTGCCTCTTAGAAAAGCCGCCGCTGTGATTCAAAGAGAAAACTGCACTGCACCTGGGGTCAGCTGAGAACTCCAGCTGATCCCTGTGTTTCAAAGGGACAGCACGCACGATTAATCGTGATTAATTTTTTTTAATTGCTTGACAGCCCTAATAATATGTTTCAATTTTTTTTGTTTCATATCTGTGCCATGGAGAAGTATGTTTTATTCTTAGCAAAGTGACCCAAGGGAAGTTACTAAACCTTAATTCTAGCTTAACAGAGCTATTTTTATTTCAGAATTTTCCAGTTTTTAATTGAAATTATTATTAAAAACTTTGTACATGACCACTAATCAAGCAAGCAAACAAACAACCCTCCCAAAAATCAACCAACCAAACAAAAAAGCCCTGATCTCATGAAACATTTCTATCGATTTGAAGAGGTATGTACTATCAACTTTGAATATTATGTTAACTTTTAGCACCAGATTCACTAGTATAGTCTAGCTGCTTTACACCACTCTGGTGCAGCACAAAGCAACTTGAGTATTTTCCTCTACCACTTGTCTTCCACATTTTTGCTTGTGAACCCCCTTTGCTCTAAATTCCCTTGTTGCCTGCACTCCCCTCTACAATCCTCAACTCAGCTTTGTACACATGTACAGCAGTAATAGAATTTTGTTGCTATTTGTCATAACTGAAAAATATATCTGCCAGCAGAGGATAACATGAAACCTTCTCCTTCAGGGAAACTTGCCACGAATTGCTCTCTTTCCCAATAGCTGCTATGTCTTATTTAATAGCAGAGAAAGAGGGCAGTTGGTGGAAATTACTGAAGGAATAGCTTATATGTTAGAGCTTCTATTGGAGAACCAATTCTTGTGCAATTCATAATGGCAAGAAAGATCCAATTTGCTTATGGGTAAGATTTCAGTATGATTTAACTATATGGGAAGTTTGAAGAGTTTCTACTTCATTAATAAGACCATTGGAGAGGGGGAGATCCAAAACCAAGTGTTACATTTCTTAAAAGATTCATTTTTAAATTAACTTTAACTCAGCCTGATTAATTAATTCATCCATACTTCTAAGAAAATTCATTCTATACCTCAAATGTTAAATGCTGTAATTCTGAGGTAACACTGTATTTTTTTTTCCTCTAACAAAGGAACTAAATCTCTGCTTTAAGTGTAAAACTGCTATGAGGCCATGGCCATAATAAATACAATAATAATTAATAGAGTTTAATTTCAACCTACTTCTCAGAAAATTCATTCTATATTCAGTGAGTGCTGTAAGTTTAGGGAGGATACACTGTATTCTTGTTGGACACACAGTTTCTCAAGGATGTCACATTGTGAGAAGTGAAACTTCCTTTATTTAGGCCTAGGGTTAGCGTTTTTGAAAGCATGCTTTGGAGTCAAAGTCTCGTTTAAAAACAAAACAAAAAACTTAACGATGCCTAAATCACTTAAATGGGACTTAAGAGCCTACATCGCTTGTGTGTTTTTGAAAATGTTATCTTTAGTCATTTTGGTTAGTTGATACAAACTAATATTTAACACCCTCATTTGACCAGAACATTTAGTGCATATGTATTTTATAATTCTAAGGTCATACTTACATTGGTTACCACAGCCAGAATTGCTATTCCTTGCATGATTGGCTGCCATGCTCCTATATCTTGTGCTTTCTGTGGTACCATGCGCCTGAACTGGGTTGTTATCTTCCAGGCATCAACTCGTATTTCCAACAAATTATTGACAAGAGCCAGAAGAGGAGCCAGTGGGAATGATGCCACAAATAAAGTGACAAATCCAAACTGTATAACTGCCAATGAGAATGTGACATACATTGGTGATGCCATAACTCCAATGTCTATATATTTACCCACACCATGAGAGAGAGAAATACATGTTGTAATGGTTTCAAATAGTAGACCCCGTGTGAAAATACACACAGAAAAGTAAAATAAATGCCTGAAAGATGGAGAGGCCTATCAATGATGAACAATAGATTGTAAAAGTGTGCTAGGTGCACACAAAAAAAAAATCCATAACTCACACATATGAACTATTTTCAATATTTAAATATCTGCTTCTTTGTACATCTTTTTACCTATAAGGCTTGTAAATTTACTTATTAATCCAGTGCTGTGCTATAAAGCCTCAATTATGAATAACATGATTGGTGTTTTGGAGCTGAAATCAGTATGATTAAAATATGATTAAAGTATGGCTGGTGACAAATAAATTAGTTGACAATGACAGTGTTCTAGTGCCTGGCTACTTTTTCCAGTGGATAAAGTAAAAGATGAAGAGGCAACAGACCGATTCATACAGTCCCTAGACACAGAAGCCATGTCCTCTTTGGTGGTAAAGTGGATTGTTGTTTATTTTATTTAGATTAAAGTTTGTGTGAAATGAAGAAAGGTAAATGTGTTAATCTCTATTATGTGTTTACGTTATTTATCTGAAGACTTTTTCTGAAAAACACGTTTGGATCTAGACACTATTTCATAATAAATCAGTAATGCACTGCTGACTTACCCATTTCAAGATACTCATAAAACAGTCCAAGTTTTCCAATAGGCTGCAGATGGTAATCCTGTTCCCAGCGTGGAATAGTCTTCTCTGATCGAGCAGCTGAGCAGCATCTTCCGATTAGATTCTTAATCCAGCTATCAGTCAGGAAAAAAGTGATGGCTCTCATAGTTAGTCTACCTTACCAAAGGCTTGCTTTTGTGCTATTACCAATGCTGAAAATTGGTTCTTGATAATGACTGAACTACTGAAGCTCATTAATACAAACAATGGGTATCTGATTGGCTATTGGAAGTACCAATTGTAGTCATTTACATCAATGCAAAGTGGGTGTGCAACACTACCATTCCAATTTGCTAGCATTTTACACCCACTTTTCACTGGTGTAAATGACTGCACAAAGGGAAAAAGGCAACAGAGAATCAGGCCCTATATGTTCCTCCGCTTTGAATCCTTCCTTCTCTAAAAGCTCTTGGTCTGAAATGTTAGCACCTGAATTTAGGAAAATCGATGTTGCAATTATAACTATTTTCATCTGTTACCTTAGAAAAAGGAGCAGCAACAGATAAACTTTTAAGGGGGAAAAAAGGTATCATTTGCATATAAATGTCCTTCATAATAATGGAAGAGAAATCTTCCATTTGTAATTACAGAAATACAAAATGAAATGTCAGCCAAATGCTTTTAAGCGTGAGGCACCAGTTTCACAAAAGATGTGTTACTCCTTCAGATATATAGTAAGAATTGCTTTTTTCACTATTTTTCTAAGTTTCCAGATCATCCAACTTGTAATGCATCCCTCATTGTGGTATCTTTTCTTACAATAATTCCTAAATATATCCTGAAAAATAGATGGATTGAGACTGAATCTGAAACCATTCAATATGAAGTAAAATGTGACATTCTTCTTTTATACATTATCTTCCTCCTTTCTCTTCTTTCTTACAGTTTATGGGCCAAATCATTGCAAATAGGAGTTCAATGGGAGTGAGGTTTTGGCCTTTTCTCTTTTCCTCCATTTCTAAGTCTCCTTTATCCATATTTGTGCTTTAGGTCACTCCGTATTTTCAGTCCCCTTCTGGTCATCTCCTTGTACACTTTTCTCCTACCCATCAGTCACCTATTATTAAGGCCCCAAATCTACAGTCCCCAATAATGTTCCAATATTCGGAGAGTTTTTTGTTTAAAGCAGCTTTACTTGACAGACAGAATGCTCTCTGTCTCCTAATCTTTTTCCTTCGTTGTCTTCAATCCATGTATCATGGTAGTCAATGTGTATAGCTCATGTCTAATTTAGATTGCAAGATGTTTGCGTCGGGGACCTTCTTTTCTATATTTGTATAGTTGTAAGTATTTGATCAGTGCTCAGTTAAGTAGTAAAAGTCCCTGATACAGAGGGCCAGATTACAAAAGGGACGTTAGGGGCTGCAACCTAGAGCCCCAGGCTAAAGGGGACCCCACAAAAAGATCTTTGGGTGACCAAAAGTGCAGATATTTTTGCAGGACCCGGAGCCACCAAAGCCCATGTTCCGACTGCTATGTGGGTGTGAGGGAAGGAAAGGGGTTCCATGCACTGCTGTTGCTCTCCCCACCTTAGCTGGACTGGAGCTGCAAACGCCAGAAACTCCATCTACACACTTCCCTCACCTTCAGGATCTGGCCATGCAACTCCCAGTGCTCAGGAATTATGGGCAATAGGAGATGTTGTAGGCAGTGCCTGCAGGTGTGTGTGGAGCAGCACACAGATCCACCTGCCCCCACTCCTGTCCCTCTCTGGGGCCCCCCACCTTGGCTGGACTGGTGCTGCAAACGCCAGAAACTCCATCTGCACACTTCCCTCACCTTCAGGATCTGGCCATGCAACTCCCAGTGCTCAGGAATCATGGGCAATGGGAGATGTTGTAGGCGGTGCCTGCAGGTGTGTGTGGGGCAGCACACAGATCCACCTGCCCCCACTCCTCCTGTCCCTCTCTGGGGCCTGTGCCACCAAAGGGGAATTGTCCCAGTGTCGAGCACTCCAACTCCCTGCTGCAGTCCTGACTTGCAATACCAGCTCCACACCCTACTTCAGCCTCCTGCCCTGAGCCCCCTCCTGCATCCTAACTCCCACCTAGACCATGTATCCCACCCCACCTGCTGCAAGACTAGACTTCTCCTGCACCCCAAATGCCTCATCACCAGTCCCACCCTAAAGCTCACACCCTGAGTCGGACTCTCACCCTCTCCTGCATCCAGCCCACTACCTCAACTCACAGCCCCCTTCCTCCTGCACTCTGAATCTCTCATATTTGGCCCCATCTACAGAGTCCCACAAAATCTGATAGATATGGGCCCCCAGAAAAGTTAATCCATCACTGCTGATGCATATCCAATTCAGTACTCTGAATTGCTGTATGTAGACACGTTTGAACCTTGACAATTCAACTTTTTTCATCCTATAGCATCAGTAATGGCTGTTACATTACTGTTACAATGATTAAAAGTGTTGGAATTGGGTGGATTTGTTTTCAGTGCAAGCAAATACCAGGCTACATTAACAGTTGATCTGGGAAGAAAGAACAGACCTAGGACTTGACTATTGGTTCCAAGTATGAGTGGTGATGGATAAGCACAAGTAATGGGCTATACAAATGGGGACAATCATGGATATAAATAAGTCAGCTCGCACAAAGAAATGTTTTAGCTACAGGCCTACTGATTTTTAGACACAGATTCTGCTCTTTGTTGCAACAGGGCACACTTAGAGCTACTCCCCTGAATTTACTCTGGATTAACAGTAGTATAAAAGAGAACAAGATCTGACCTTAGTTTTGCATGATATTCTTATTGATAAACTAGGTAAATATAACTTAGATAGGGCCACGATAAGGTGGGTGCA